AGTAACGACTGAGCACAGATTAAAAAAAAAAAAAAAAAGAAACTTCACATTACTGTATATCCAAGTGTGAGACGCAAACTATGGAAATACTAAATACAAGAAGTTTAGCCTGCAATTTAAAAAAAGAGACTTCCTAAATTAACATAATAACATTAATTCTTCCTTGGATAGAATTGACATTCTATTTAAAAACCAATTTTGCAATGCTGGAGTTTGCAATACCCTCTGAGAATAAGCATGTGACAAAAGAAAATGGTCCAAGTCTCCAAAGTCATTCCAGCTCCCTCTTCATTATGGAACTTTTGAATGCCAATTCTTAAGATAACTCCTCTGTTGTCCATTTGTGATACAAGCACATTTACAATTTGATTTTTTCCATTTATTGCTGCCATTTTCTAAGCAGGAATGCACGGTAGAGAGCAGGGTAACTGCTAATGAAAATCAAGTGAAGTGTGAGTATAAACATAGTAAATTGTACACAAACATCGACTAAAACATTAGAAATGAATAAAGCTAAAAAATATTGAATGGTACAACATGAGTGCTACAGCAGTGATGTACTCATCAACCCATTGATATTTGTTCTTCTCTTTTAAAAAACAATTTTTAATATCAGCTAAGAGATTAGGTAATATGTTGCCAATGAACCGAGAAACACTTTACACAAAAGTGCTCTAGACATTAAAATAGGAAAAATGGCTTGCTGATCATTATTTACTAATGTTTTGCCCTCTACATGGGGCTGCCCTTGAAGAGTATCCAGAAGCTTTAGCTGGTGCAAAATGCAGTGGCACAAGCAGTTGCGTGTGCCCCTAGGTCAGTACATGTTACACCTCTGCTCCATGAGCTGCACTGGTTGCCAGTTTGCTTCCAGGTCCAATTCAAGGGGATGGTTTTGACCTTTAAAGCCCTTCATGGCATGGGGCCGGGTTACCTGAAGGACTGCCTCTCCCTGATTACATCTGCCCGTCCCATCAGGTCAGCAGAGAAGGCATGCTGCAGATCCCGTCTGCTAGAGAATTACATTTGGCGGTTCCCAGGAGGCGGGCCTTCTCTGCTGTGGCGCCCGTCTTGTGGAATCTTCTCCCTCCGGAAGTGAGATTAGCTCCATCCCTCTTCACATTCCACAAGTCCCTCAAGACCTGGCTATGTGATCAGGCCTGGGGCTCCCAGGGGACCA